TGATAATCCATCTGGCTAATACACGTGTTTACATGATAATCCATCTGGCTAATACACGTGTTTACATGATAATCCATCTGACTAATACACGTGTTTACATACATAATCCATTTGGCTAATACACGTGTTTACATGATAATCCATCTGACTAATACACGTGTTTACATACATAATCCATTTGGCTAATACACGTGTTTACATAGATTCTCTAGCTAGTTAATAGATGTGTTTCCAATGATTACCTATATGGCTGAACACCGCCGTTTGTTACTACATTGATAATCCATCTCACTTAATACGCGCGTGTACACCCCGACCATTCACATGTGAATGTAATCCCTTAATTACTATTAATACCAACCTTGTATCCTGTTTTCGATCCAAGACTCAAAGAGAAAATACATAACTACTAGTTACTTACTGTTACACCATATGATAGGCCTTCTGAAAATCGAACACATCTTGTTAGTTAGTGCACTTACCATGATACTTACCACCATGAAGCTCTCAATCTCAACAATGTTATGCCAGATAACAAAACTCACCTTGCACAACATTTGGATTTAAGCTCCTGAGTATGGAATAAAACATTCAATGCCATCCCCATCTACACTACATTCCTTACAAATATGTACACAAAATAACTACGAGAGTTTTTTCTGCAGTTGAGTTGGTCTTACAAAGATTCTGTAGCATGTAAGTAACAAGTCATAAAATATATAGTATAGTGTGTATAGTCTAGCCCAGAATATACGCGAGTAGATTGTCCAGTCATGCGGCCGACAAACAATTCAACGTGCACCTGTTGCACGTAGAGCACACACAACTCATATTCATACCGAAACACTAGCTACCATACTTAACAGTTGCATTGCGCTATGTCCAAAACTCTACTGCAATTACTTGTACGTTTCACCCAAAACGAATCACCGTGGTTTCACCATGCGCAAGTTGGGTAAAAATCTGGCCCTTATGCACCATAACGCCTTCTTGCAAAATATATTCAGATGGAGTAATTGTAGATGCCAACATCGCTCTTCATGATCCATCACAACAGATTTAAGGGCCAAGCTGTTTACTCTATGGTCTTCAGGGTCATCACACACCAAATAGAAGTAGTTTAACACTACTGCCTAGTTGCTCAATTAATTATATACCACAATATGATGGAAGCCTCTACGTGTGTCATTTTTGTAAGAGGTTTTCCATTCTAAAAGAGATTAATTTAATACACAGTTTGCGTGGCTATATGCTTTAATACCTAGTGGCCAGTTTACTTCCTATATTCCAACTATACACGGTGTGGCTAATCACTGCCAACATGTGCTACTCCTATAGAAAGCACCTGGTAACGGATTTCGTAGTGCTCCATGGCGGTGTTATCTGTCTGTTCAATCTCTGCAGCTAGGGCCAGGGCCTAATCAAAGGCATTTTTCATACCGAATATCGGCGCCCAAATTACAACCCCTAGCAAAACAACAAAATTATAAAATTCATAAAACGGCCAAATTAGCAGAGCTCTGAATTAAATCTCCATGTTTCTATTATTATTATGTAGGCACTGTTTTATAACAAAATGCCATCAAATGCTCATATAAGATCTATAATCTATTATCTGAATAAAATTGTCATGTTATTATTCATCTACGGGCCTATACTATACCTAAAAAATGTGTTTTCACTCGCTGCGCTTGCCAACGGTCAAAACAGGTTTTTGGCCTCGGTACGCTCGCCATGGGTGCCCATATTTTTAAAAGCAGCTAGATTAGCCCCTGAGGGCATCTATAAAGATCTCGTTACTTTTTTACGTTAATCATTTCCCAAAAACTTCATTATACTGTTCCTACAACCATCAGACTATGGCTAGTATGACTAGGCTGTCACTGATACCAGGACTCCAGTATAATTCTAATCACTGGTGACGCTATTGTCTCAGCCTAGTGCTGCCAATGTTTCAGCAAAACGTTGCTGAATGGTGATTCCTGGTGGTGCCATCACAGCCTAGTGCTGCACCCTGATGATAGGATCAAATCAGTCTAGTGCTGCTTCCTGGTGGTGCCATCACAGCCTAGTGCTGCACCCTGAGGGTAGGATCATATCAGCCTAGTGCTACCTCCTGGTGGTGCCATCTCAGCCTAGTGCTGCACCCTGATGGCAGGACCAAATCAGTCTAGTGCTGCTTCCTGGTGGTGCCATCACAGCCTAGTGTTGCATTCGGATGATGGAACAATCTTAGGTTAGTGCTGGTCTTTGGTGGTGCCATCATCTTAACTTAGTCATGCTCCCTGGAGGTCCAACGATATCAATATAGGTCTGTTACCACGTGCTGCAATCGTCTCAGTCAAGTGCTGCTCCCTGGTGGTGATAATTTCTCAGCCTAATGCTGCTATCTGATACTGCCTCTTTTCCCAGATGAGTTCAATACTCCCTAGTCCTAACATATGGTTTTATTACTTCTTTATCAGAAGGCATGAGTAATCTGATTTAATTTAACTTAATGATTTTAGAATACCCGATTCTCATCTTATAAGCAGGATACATCCTGGCACCAAGCCAACAACATGGAAAACCTTCCATTTCGCAATATTCACATTTTCCACTTTAGTTGGGTTCGTCGCACATTGTATGTTCTGCAAATCCGTGTCACCATCACTGAGCCACCAAAACTACCAGTGGTTGTGTCAATGCTCACAAACTGTTATCATCCACAAGCGTGTTATTATGCCCTGATATTTCAGTGGCTCTGTAGTAACTTGTCGTAACTCCCGCTTCATAAGCTATTGAGCACTCCTGGAGCCACTGTTGCAAGACGAAAAACTTAACTGACAAACAGCATTCGTTTGGTTTCCATTACTGCGCGCATGCTAACACTACGTGGTCTTCTGCATCATTCCACAGCTGGAAAATTAAAAACCTCACCCATGCTTGTGAGAGTAAATACTCTAGGCTTTGCCTGGATGTACGATGATGTCCGTCAATCAGGTGCCATTTTCCAGCATGGAAATGAGATGCTCCATTTCAGTTGGTTCATTGGTACAGGATACTTATGCACCACAGTAAATATAGAACAGTAAGTATGAGTGACCAACTCAAGAGCAGAAAAGATTCTCAGTAGCAAACAGTCGACATGCAAATAATGTCAACTGCTTTCTCGCTCGCAATTCTTTCCGCAAACCCAATGCACTCTACTACAAACACACACATGTACCCGCCGCATTTCATTTACCTTAGCCCAGATCCAAACAAGATGTTGCCTTTGTACATTGTATGGCAACTTGTATTTTGCAGGGAGGGGCGAGTATGTAACACAAGAACAGAGACAAGAACAGACACGTTTGACAGCTCGACTCTATACCTGATCCAGAATGTAGTTGCGTCGCTCTCTCTGTGCAAGCTCAAGGAGCTTGTTCAAACACTTGGTAGATGCATCAATGAGAGCCTCCCAGCGACCATGGTAGTTGCGTTTCCTCGGCAGACCATTAACCTGTCATGATATTTGCAGATACCAGAATGTGGGCAATAATAGGAAATTGTCAGATACTCATACCTGTTTAAAATGTTAAGCCACCAACTACACATATCGCTGAATAAATCTGATAGAACATTTGAGAACTACTAAGCCACTCATATGAGCACAAAAAGCTATTCTTTGATGAACAAGTAGGCCTCCAAAAAACACTGAATTTTTGTCCAAACAATGACATGATACTTGGTAAATGGCACGTACCCTCATTTTATCGATGATGGTGTTAGTGCCAAGCACTGTCCACTTTGTCTCCTTCTGCTCTTTCAAGTACTGCTCTACCCAGTAAGATTTCCCAGATCCAGGCAAGCCGCACATCATTAAAAACTGTTGGAAAAAGATGTGTCGTTGGCTTACACCCGACTGGTCAGCAATAAACTAACCATTACAGACATGATATTGCACTGCCTGTACATTGACACATTTATGATCAGTAGTTAACAATTTCCCACAGGAGAAATGCACAGCATGGTAGGCAAGGCAAATTTGCTTACGGTGCAGTCCGATTTATTTTCAGGGCCAGCTGTGGCTCTCACTCTATCCTCCAAAGGAATATCCTGGATGAACTTGAATCCCTCTGGTAATGGGAAGAATGGCTCCTCCTACAGATACACAGCAGTTTAGCAGTTACACATATTAGACAACAAGGATATGACCAACCACACATTGGCCAACATCAACTACAGCTGTATAAAATTGAAACATGTGACTATTTCAATTTGGATGCACATAGTAATTAGTTATATATATATATACACCGATTACCTTTTGCCCAAAGTTGACATCGACAGCAGAGTTCTTACACAGGATGTGCGGGAAAAGAGCATGATCGCCTAACTCTGCTGGCTCAATCGTAAATGCTTCACCAAGATCTTCCCCATTTTTAGCATAGGAGATGCTTATCGGTGAGACGTCAAAGTTCTGCAAAATCAATTAAAAAATATCTATCACATTTTCTAGTAAGGAACCATGATAACGCAACACTGGTTGTCTTACTCTGGAAGGTTGATAACAGGTCAGTACAATCTAGCACATCAAATAAATTTCAAGGATGTAGTTAAGGATGTAGTGTGAAAACCAGAATTACCACACATGTTGTAATCACATCTCCAGCCTCAAATCTTTGTCCATAATCTTTGAACTTGCAGTCAACAGATGCTTTTCCAGTTCCGCCATAGCCATACGAGAAAGCTTCCTCACCTGCAATACAATATCGTTCTTACTCTATCGTGTTACAAACGAAGCAACATACTCCCACAAAAGATGCAAGGTCATTTCACCTGACTATGGTGACAACACATACAGAGCACTGCTACATTATACCAAGAGTGCATAATAGAGAAGAGTATGACACGGTTTTAACAGCGTTTTGCATAGTTTTCAACTGGTAAATAATCTATCAATATGTGAATAAATATATTCAAACTTTACCTTGTTTTCGTCTATGATTCTCCCTTAATCATATGACACCACCAATTTACCTGAAAATCGTATGTGTTCTTCAAAAAAGTTATTTGAATACGACACGGTTTCGTACAGTTTTCACGCATGAATGCATCTCTCCGACCGAACTTTCTTATGGGATTAGTGTTCTATTGTCTATGACGGTACGCTGGGGGCCGTAAGGGAATCAGCTGCTAGCTAGCTGGCCGTGAGCGCATTTATTTTTAGCACGCTGGAAACGCTGCACGCTGAATACAATTCGATGCCTAATATCCCATACGACCCCCAAAGTTCCGTCATAGACAATAGAACACTAATCCCATAAGAAAGTTCGGTCGGAGAGATGCTTTCATGCGTGAAAACTGTACGAAACCGTGTCGTATTCAAATAACTTTTTTGAAGAACACATACGATTTTCAGGTAAATTGGTGGTGTCATATGATTAAGGGAGAATCATAGACGAAAACAAGGTAGTTTGAATATATTTATTCACATATTGATAGATTATTTACCAGTTGAAAACTATGCAAAATGCTGTTAAAACCGTGTCATACTCGAGTCTTCTCTATTATGCACTCTTGATTATACTTAAGTTCATCTACCGTTACGATGAATTGAACAGACACCCAAGGAAATATGCATACGAGATCAATCTCATCATACAGTCATATGGAATACCAAAATAAACTAAGTCCGATATAAGGATACATTCATCTCTACTTTTACCCCAGAGGGAGACTGTTCTACTTGGAGGAATTACGTACCGAGCTGCATTGACGCCGCATCCGAAGACCAGCCAATGCGAGTAACATGTGGATCTTGTTCCTCCTCAGCAAAAGTTACCTTCAGATGCTCTGTAATCTGATAAACCACATATATTGCAAAACAACTTCTAAACTTAGATACTGGGTTCAATGATTACATTTCACTGACAACTATAATCAAACAACACATAGTGATTAAGGATACACTCAAGGGTCTCATTGATGGAATTTTATCAATTTTTTCATCAACAGTTTTACTCTATAGCTGCAACAATGTGCCACCTCTCGCCTTATGGATATTTCTCTGTCATTCCATCTCAGAATAATGTAATTTTACACCCATTTTAATGGCAACACTACTATAAAAAAAATGCAGCTATATTTGATACCGAGTACCATCTGTTATAAATTTTTAGTCACCACATTCGTGCCATTCGAGGCACGAGTCACACGCTTTAGATAACAGTAATCATTTACCTTCACTTCAAATGCCACCATGCCTTTTCTCACACCAAAGGTGCCTCTAGCTCCACCCCACATGAGCCCAAAGCCTCCTAGGGTAAGTGTTTCTGCAGTATACCGGCCTTTGTTTATCTTTAGGTTCAAATCCGAATTGTCTACAAAACAAAAGGTTATACGTTCAATATTCAGATTACTTCAACACACATTTAATCACACACTTCAATAACGAATCCTCAGAAGGTAGGTAGCTGACACAATTTTATAACCAGCAAGGTTTATCCTTTATTATAATTAATGCTAGAGACATACACTTGTCAAGCACAACGAGGTTTGGGTCGATTTCCTCTTCTGGTTCCTCTTTCACGGGGGTACTCTCTTCGGTCTTGCCTTGGTAATGGTCCTTCTCTTTCTGGTGGTCTCTCGGACTATGAGACCGCTTGCGTTTCTCTCCATGTTGATGCTCATTGACGCGATTTTCGTCGACATCCTTCTCTGTAAACCATCCACGTGAAGCTGTTCAATTATTACAGACAGTTCAATCATGTCACTGTATTCTACATCTACAACTCTCTTTCTAACTGATCAATTAAAACAATCAAATGAAAATTATTCACTTCAAGTAAACAGGTCACAACTCTGAACTGTCCCGAGCTGATTAGGGAAACAATCTGTTTTCATAGGGTTATTTTACTAGAAAATGTTTTCCTCAAAAAATCTTTTTATTAGAAATGTCTAGAGTGATGTTATCACTTTAAATTTACTCGCTTACGATTTTGGCTGCAACTTACTGACTTCATCCCCATTTTGGTCAGCCTCCATATTCTCATCACCTGTCTCGCCTATTTCCTCCTTCACAACAAACTCTTCCTCCTCCTTTGCTTCTTCTACTTCTGCTGGTGCCTGTTTTGGAATGGATAAATTTAAGAGGACATTTTAAAGTATTACTATTGCGAGAGTTTTCCAGTGTTTTCACCACTTTCATAACACCTACCGTTATTGCTCGAGTAACAGCAATTGTCTAGAGTAACCATAAAATGTCTTAGAACCTTCGTATTCACCGAAAACTGCCATTTTCTTTGGACATTAGCTGAAAAATACGGTAATTCCGCAAGGCCATGCTCTGGAACGAACTAGTTAGTATAGCAGAATTTTCAGGGAGTCACACGGACTCCTGCATATGTCAAATCAGAGAGTCCGACAGTAAATCAGGGAGTATTTGACTCCAGACTCCCGTTAATTTCGCACCCTGCAACTGTGCTACCCATCACACGCATGATCATGCACAATAGTGAAAATGCATGTGACATCAGAACACCAAGATTAAAGCAAGGTTCAAACTAGAAACGAGCAGTTGTCGCCAACTACATGTATCCCCCGTGAACTAGTATGAATGGAATATCTCTGTAAGGACGTAGAAGGCAGGTAAAGTTAAATAAGTCACAAAGACAAAGGTTTGTTAGACAACTGGTGTGCCTCAGATGTGCAAGTATATGGAATCTGGCTACCCTAGGAGGCCGAAGAGAAAATGCAAGTTGACAGTGAAGGTCAAACTAAGGTCAAGGGTGGTTTTGGTATGCGACAGACCTTCTCCCCAAGATGTTAAGCATACCAAGTTTGGTCGCGCTAGGTCAATTAGGGGCCGAGTTAGAGGGCGGAAGGGAAATATGATCAAGGTCAAGGTAAAGGTGAAATAAAAGTGGGCAGTTTTTACCCGATATCGGATGATCTTCAAATTTCGCATGAAGGTGCATTATGGTAAAGCGAAGACGCCAATCGTTTTTGGTGTGGGTGGAGTCATCGTTGCCATGGTAACAACATTTTTGTAGAAATATTGCAGAACCTATAACTTGCTGTTTTTACCCGATTGTCATGGAATTTGGCACACAGGGCCGATATAACATGTCCTGATGACAATCATAAATTTAAATATAAATTTAAATACAAATATAAATTTCATGACAATCGGGTAAAAAGTGTAGAAGTTACAGGTTCTAGAATATTTCGACAAAAAATGTTGTTACCATGGCATCGATGAATCCGCCCACACCAAAAACGATTGGCGTCTTCGCTTTACGATAACGCACCTTCAAGCAAAATTTGAAGATGATCCGAGAAGAACTGCAGCCGGTAGAGCGTTCACAAGGAAATCTCTGCGGTGGCGGCGGCACGACGATGCCAAACCCATAGTATCCCCACGAACTTCGTTCGGGGGATACAATAAGAGCAATGTGAAACAGCATGCCTATAGTGAGACCCACGGGTGCTACTCTCCAATTACAACCTGAATACATCAGATGAGCTAAACAAATTAACTATAATCACAGCCACCATTAATAAACACAATGCCAACCAAACGTATGAAAGAAGTAAAACACACCTCTTCTGTATCCTTTTCAGCTTGAACCTCTGTCTCCATACTCTCCACCTTCTCCTCAACAACTGGCCCCGGCTTTACGACCTCCTCTTGTGCCGCCTCATGCTCCTCCTTCTTCACAACCTCCTCCTGTTGGTGTTCTTCTTTTTGCCCCACTTCGCTCTGTTCCTCTTTTTTATCCGCCACATCTTCCTGCACCTCGGCTTCCACAGGCTCCTCCTGTTCTGGTTCTTTTTCTACAGCAGCAAGGGGCTCAGCTTTCTCAATCTCCTTCTCGACCTCCAGGGGAGCTTCTGGCTCTACCACCGAGGGTGGAGCCTCGGCCTCAGGCTCAGGCTCGGGCTCGCCTTTAGGTGGGGCTTCGTCCGCTACTTCTTTTTCTGGTTCCTGTAGAGAAAATACGTTAGGGCTGTTCTTCCAGCACGCTTTCACAAGTTACTCAGTAGGAACGCGAAAAGGAAGTTAAAGTATAACACAACACGAAGAAAACAAACAATGAGAATGAAGAATAAAAATAACAGACATATCACAATGTTATTTCTTTTAGCAAATAGAAAGATTAGAAATTGACTTACTGCTTCCGATGCCGAAACATTGACAAAGGATTCTTCCTGTGTAGCGTCAAGCTCCTGTGATGTATCAATATCATCGCCACCAGACTCATTCATTGAACTGTCAGCTTGCTCAGCCATGGCTGCAAGAAGTATGGAAGTTTGTGTTAGGGCCACAATTAAAAAAATCTTTGTTTGCCCTCACTCGACCCAGGCTGAAAAGTTTGGGTAGGTAGGTAGGCTTTTTTTAGGGGGGTCTTTTTACAAATTCAGCATGGTGTCTACATGCTCGGGTGTGCTTGTGTGGAGATACCTTTTATGTTGAATGTTTGTTTTGCTTGGTACATATAATGTATTGCCTATAGATTAAAGCCGCACAATGCGCATCCAAACGCTAATTTCTCCAGTACTAGACTAGCAAATACTTCGTGTCATGCATAATCATACTACCTTATGGCAAAATAAACTCTAGTTCCTCCCATTTCACTGCGCGTTGTCTTATAAAAGGTATTCTGAAAATA